GCCCGGCCCGCTCCGGCTCGCCTCGGCCTGGCCCACTTCGGCAGCTCTGGCACTGCCCTGAAGTCACGTCCAACGCACATCCCCAGTTCCCGCAGCCGCGGCAGAATTCTCCTGGCCCCCGCGGTTCCTGACGGCTAGAAGCCCCGCGCCGCGAGCAGAGCCCCCTGAGTGGGCGGTAGCGGCTGCAGAGCGGGCAGAGCCCGGGGCTGGGTCCGCAGTCGGAACTGCTGCACAGGGCGCAGGGGCCGCCCTGGGCTCCTCTTCCCTAGCACCCGCCCCGAGCCGGCCCTGCCGAGCGCAGTTGCCGCCTCCGCTCGGGCTTGTCCCCCGCTCGCTCCGGACAGCGCCGGCCACGGCAGGGAGGAAAGTGTGGGGAACCGGGACAGCGCGCTGACCGAACTTCCCGGGAAATCGGGTTCCGGGCCGGCTCCCTGGGCACGGCAGGCAGCGAGTGCCGGCACCGGGCCCCGTTTAGCAGCAATTTCCCTTCCCTTCTCTTCCCGCACTGGCCCTCCCCACCTGGCCCTGCGTCGCCGACATCGTGCTCTGCATCTGTATTTCAAACAGTTTAATTTTAAAAATATTCTATTCAGTGCTAAAATAACTTTCCACCTCCACGCGCGGCCGCGCCTCCAGCTTCATCAGGCTTGATCACGGACTCGGCGGGACATGCAGTGGCAGCGGGGGGGGATAGGGGCGGGGGGGGGGGGGGGGGGGCGGGGGGGGGGGGGGGGGGCGCAGCGGGTATTGGGGGGCAAAAGAGCCCCAGGACGGGAGCGCTTCCCGGGGGCTCCAGCACCCTGCTGCTTCCTTCTCCATCCCGGGGACCGTAGGTACCTGGGCCGGGGCAAGGCCCACCCAGCACAGGGCAGCAGCTCCCCCTGCTCTGCCGGCTCCCGGGGGACTGCAGGTTCCCGCCCCCGCGGTTGGAGTTGTGCCCCGCGGCAGAGCAGAGGCCGGTCAGTACTTGCCCTCCGGGAGGGGAAAGCGCCCCCCTCTCTCCCAGCATGAATGGCTTAAACTAGCAGCTTATTGCACAGCGTCCCAGTGGGTCCCTGCAAGCCCCTAACTGCCCCCACACCCACCGCCATCTGCTCCCACAACGGAGTGGGCACATCACCTGGAGCAGGTAGAAGGTGGCTCTCCTGTTCCCAGCACCCAAGGGAAGGGCAGGGATGGGAGCCACAAGCAGGCAAACAGCATCTGCCAGTGTCCTGGGGACCATGATGAGCAGGAGAAACGCCCCCCCCCCTCCCCTCCATGCAGCCCACCCAGCAGAGACCCCCAGCTCTAGGGCAGGGAGCAGGGAGAGAGGGAGCCAATAAATAGAGGCAAGTTTGCAGGTACTGGCAGCAGCGCCATCCGTCAGGCAGGGCAGGGCAGGGAAGGGCACGCTTGATGTGAGTGGTAAGAGCCCCGACACTGGGGAAGGGGCAGGCTGGAGGGAAAGCGCTGGTCCTGGAAGGCCAGGCGGCTCTGCAAGGGGCTGGCGAAGGAGCCGGGCCATGCAGGTTAGCTCTCCGAGGCCGTGTGGCACACAGAGTTCTGGTCAGCACAAAATCGCTTTAGAGGTGGCGCACCGGAGTCCTCCTCCTCTTCAGTTACCTGCAAGAGCCAGAGGTCACAGGCAGTGACACCAAGCTACACATACCTTGACAAAGCTGTGTCACACCATGGGGACACCCCGGGCCGTCACCTATGCACAGACCCCAGGGCACCAGGAATGGGAACCCACTCCAGCCTGGAGCCTGACAGTTTCATCATTTTCCCACACCCCCCACATCCTTCCCTCACACTTCAACACTTGATCTGAACCAGGGGATAAAGATCAAAGCTCAGGGAACCAGGAGGTTCTGGGAGCTCCCAGGGGGCATTTGGGACTGCAGAGCGACTTCATCCACCGAGATGCTTCTGCTACAAGAAGCAGCAACAAGGGTCAAAGGGCCAATCTGGGCCCATGCACATTTAGAGATGGTTTCAATCCCCCTTCCCTTACCTGAGTCTCAAGGGGGACTGGCTCTTCCTTTGTAAGAGTGGGAGGCTCATCTGCCACTTCTGAGGAAGGCAGGGAGGGCTCTGGGGAGAACAAGTGGTTCAAAATAAATGCAGAGCCAGCACCAAGCTCAGTGCTGAGCCAGGACAACACCTAGCAGAGGAAGTCCCTGATGCCAGCTTCCAGCAGTGCCAAGGCCACCCACCAGACCACCAACAGCTCTGGAGGGGCCTTCCCTGAGCCCACACATCTGCCTCCTCCCTTCCCAGCCCAGCACCCACCTTCCAGGGTCTCCTGCCCCAGGGTAGGAGGCTGTGAGTCATCTGTGCGGAAGTCAGACGTGTGGGCAGGACTCATGGACTCACTCTGCTGGGGACTGGGGCTGGAGTTGGGGCTGCTGTCCACCTTGAGCTGGTACACGTCAGACAGGGAGCTCTGATTGCTGTTCTCATCTGCAGAAACAGCACCTGGTGAAGAAGAGCACCTTGACCCAGGAGCACAGGCAGCCCAGGGCGGCACTGCAAGCTGGAGTCTTGCCGAGAAGGCAGAGCAGAGTCAGAGAGTTAAACAGGGGATTCACTGTTCCCTATCAGCCCAAGGGCTGTCAGGCACACGACTGTCCTCCAGAACACAGTGGGAATCATTTACACAACTGGCTGTGGGAGAGGGAATGCTCCTGCCCTGGGAATGAGAACGAGCACTGTCAAATCTCACATCTGCAGCTAGGGAAGGCCCTGGACATCTCCTGGGTTTTGTTCCTCCTCTGTGAAGCAACACCAGGATTAATGCTCAGCACCTGTCTCCCAATGAGGAGGCAGGCCTGGCACACACCTTCCCAAATTGCAGACCTGCAGCATAACCCCACCACATCTCCTGGAGGTGTCAGAACATTCCTAATTTTGCTTAGCCACATACAGAGCAGGGGTTGGACAGATGTGTACACTCTATTTCAGCAGTGAGTCTGGCGCTGCCAGAGCCTCTCCTGGCTGTACCACAGTGCCCAGACCCAGACATCCTTTGCCCCTTCACCCTAAGGTCCGTGGAAGTAACTTGGAAAAGCAAGCTTGGCTGCAGGTGGCTACTGGCCTCTCCCTAGCAGAGACCAGAAAGGGAGAAGCAGGAAACTCCACTCCTCCAGTTGGCTGTGAAGCTTCCCCCAGAAAATACCAGAAACAGCCCACTAAGACTCTCTGACAGCAAAAATGAACAGTTTGGACAGGGACAATCCAGAAGTGGATCAGTCCAACTCCACAGCTCAATTCCATACTTCTCCACTTCATGTCAGTACTCAGAGGCGAGCACTGCTCTTCCCCATACCGGCAGCTCACAGAACCAGCAATGTTCCAGCTACTGTACAGCCTTGGAGTATTTCCCCAGGTTGAAGGGAGCTCAGCCAGACCCACCTTGAAACTCCAGAAGGAGGGAGGAGTTGGCAGAGGTGTCAGCTGGGAAGCCATTGGGTTCTCGGGCTGTGCTGCTACTCGATTTGGATTTCTCTTTCTTGAGGAGAGAAAGAAAAGCACAAATACAATGTCAGAGGAACACATGCTGCTCCAGAGGAAACATTCCCCTTTCTGTCTCCAGAAGCCCAGAGCGATGTGCACAACCTGGCCTTTTCCCTTGGCTTTGGGAGCACATTCCTAAGTGAGAAGCAAAATTCCATCTACAAAAGGACTGGGAATCAGGAAAGAGAGGAGGAGATGACGGTCGTCCAGCAATGACACCGAGTAAAGCAAGTCCTTAGAGAAGTCAAGCGGAGAGTCTGGGGATGGGGGGGAGGTTCAAGAGAGCTCAGAGGGCTCAGCAGAGGCTCGATAGTTTGGGGGGGGCTCAGGTTAACTGAAGGGGCTTGTTGGGGCGGGGGGTGGATCAAGAAGGCTTGACAGGGTTTCATAGGACCTCAGAAGGGACTCGGTGGGCTTCGGGTGTGTTCGGGGGTCAGCTTGGGGAAGGATCAAGGGCTTGGGGGGGCTCAGGGGATCTCGAAAGGGCAAGAAGGGCTCAGTGGAGCCTCAAGGGTGCTCAGCAGAGCTGGGAGGGCTCAGCGGGGATGACTCGGAGGGGACACAGGGGCGTTTGGCGGCGTTCAGTGGAACTGGGGGGCTCGGAGGTGGGCTGTTAAGGGGGCTAGGCCGCCTATGGGCGGTGGCTCCCGGCTCGTCTCCACGCGCGGTACCCACCTCCTTACTGTCCGCCACAGGCACCCACTTGAATATCCGGAGGGACGTGTCGCCCACCGTCACCCACTTCTTCTCCCTGCGGGACGCAACGCTGACGGGCCGGACCGGGCCTGGGGCACCGTGGCAACAAACCCCGCCACGCTCCGGTTGGCCCAGAGGACCGTCAGTTCAGCACTCCGCAGCACTCCTCCCGCCCCCCGCACTGTGATTGGCTGGAATAACCGCCCATCAGGGGCGCTTTCGTCCCCCGTCCCACTCCCATTGGCCATCACCCCCACCCGCACCCGCTGGTTGGGCGCGCGCTCCCGGGTCGCACCCCGCGGCGGGGTGATTGGCTGCGCGCGGTAGGCGGGGCCCTCCCCCCGCGGGCCCGCCCTCACCATCTGCGGACGCGCTCGATGGCTGCCATCACCTTCTTGATGTCATCCTTGGCGCGGCTGCGGGTCTCGGCCCGCACCGAGCGCCCCGACATGGCGCGCGCAGCACCGTAGCACCAGCCCCGCCGCACCCACCGCCGCACCCGGTCCCGCGCACGCGCCCTGCGCGGCCCGCCCGCGCGCTGCGCGTCGTGCGTCACCACGCCCGACACGCCCCGGCCGCTGCGCCTGCACAGACG